GAATATCTTTTAAGAGGCAAGGCTAAGTGAAAAGTGATGGTATAGTGATGCCTACTCATATAGTTGTGAGAGGATTCACTACCAGCCAATCACAACTTTAATTAACTTATGGTGACAATAGTGATTATTCAAGATTTTGACAGTATGGGAAACATGCTCATTATAAATAATAATGGCTTAATGGTTAGTGCTTGTAAGATGTATATAAGTGAATTATTGCAAACTTTGAATTTTATCAGTATATATATTATGAGCTTCATAAATAAAGTGGTGAATTTATCCCTGATTAACCTTAATCCCGAAACCACTTTGATCCTGAAGAAAGGACTAAACTTTTACCTTCAAAATGACAGAAGCCTTCTAGAAGACATCTTGAGGGAGGCCATCAATATCTCCGACAAGTTCCCTTAGGATTAGGGTAAGTTACGAAAATCATGCGAAAACATTCTCAATGAGTGTAGTCTGTTTAAAGAAACAACCACAGATTTGGGGGTCTGTCGGTCACAGGAATAAGGCGACAGGTAATCCTAACCGTCTCGGAAAATCGACATTATAGCCACATTGACTAGAAATCCACTTGCCAGTCTTACCACGACACTTCAACCTGTCAGAGACAAAAGATGTCCATCCTTTGACCAATTGTCTGTTAAACAGGGCAAAAGGAAAGCACAACAATTGCTTAGCGGTGATTCCCAAACTGTGCGCCGCGAAATATTGTAGAAGCTTCAATTTGAGACAGTGTGTAGTGATTTGCAGTCTCATCCATCACATTGATTATTAAATATTAATTTAATGTTAATAAAGTAAAAAAAATAATGAAGACATACAAGTTTTATTTATTTTTATCTCTTACTTACGAATCGGCATACTTAGGGTAGGGCGCCATGAAAAAAATTTTATTGAAAAAGGGCGCCGCGATTGGGACAAGTTTGAGAACCAGTGGCTTAGCAGATAATCAATTAAATGATTTACTTCACTTGTCTCTGTTGCGGTGTAGCGTAGTACTACGAATGACAAGGCTCATTGACGATGCTGGAGAAACGTCTGAGATTGTACCAAGTCAATGGTCCGACAATATGACTAAGTTGCGAAAACAAAGCCAACCAAGTCCTAGTTTTTCTTTTGTTAGGTAATGCAGGCTTTACTCCTCCATTTTTAACCTATAAACGGAACCAGACGATTGTTGTTGTGCGATTTTATCAGAGTTTTCATCTTGGCCCCGTGGGATCCGTCTGCTATCTCCCTGGTTCAAGTATTTCACTCGACCCCTGCCACCCAATCTGTGCTCCACGAGGCATTATTTCCCGCACTCTGCGTCTGCTAGACTAACTTGAAGCAAAAGACCTCGAAGAATTCTCATAGTCAGGCCTCTGCTTCATGGACCACGTCTATGGTAAAACTTACGGTCAGCCAACTAGCTCCAGGCTCCACCGCATCTATCCTGTTTTTATCCCTAAAACCAAGTCTATGGCTTGCTATGTACTAGTCTCTTTTGTGCCAACCCCCAAACCTTGTGGTTCAACATTGAACCTAATCAAAGCAAGCAGTATCACAACATTTGTGGCTTGTCACACAAGAGACTATGGCGTGGGAAGTCGTCGACTTTGATTGTTTACCAGACAATTGGTCAAAGGATCGTCTTCACTTGTCTCTTTGACGAGTTGTAGTGTGGTGCTAAGAATGGCAAGGCTCACTCACGATGCCGGCGAAACGTCTGGGAATGTACCACGTTCACGGTCCGACTCTGAAAATGATCATGCATACAATGGACTTCGGACTAGATGCGTTCCTCTAAGTCTTCCTATCATATGACCAAGTTGCAAAAACAAGTTCAAACAACTTCTATACAACGAAAGGAGACTGCGACTACACAAAAGGCCACACCTTGTGAACATCGTTGTGTGCGGACCCTTATATTACACACAACCTTCGATAATTGACTTTCTATTATCAGCCTCTACTTGCTAATACGACTTTTCCTTTTTTTATCTTCGTCCTAGGGCATTCAGACTTATCTTAGGTTATAATACGCAAGCGTTTCAAATTTTATAAACAGCTTCTTCTTCGGATCGCAACAGGATTATATCAAGTAACTAAGAGGAGTGGATGAAAATAAGCTACATCGACTCACTTTATTTATTCGTAAGGCACTCGCTATTATAAGTGAAACCATTTCGTTACTATTCGTCGGAACTGGATGTCTTGGCTGTTTAATGTATCTAGTTATTAACGAGGCTTAACTATAATGATAAGTGCGTTGAAGTTGATAGAAAAGGATCCACCTAAAAGCACACCACTTTGCTTAACGCAATAGAGGGTTCTAACTTGGTTGGGAAGTCAGCACATCTTAGGAAAAATGTCTGTTCCTTCACACTTTATGGCATAGAAACAGAATTTCACCTCTCTAAGTGAAGCTATACATAAAAATTAATTTATTTCCGTTAAATGTATATAACAATCTTCTATATACGTCTGAATGGATCTAATTTTTAGATGTCTGGCAAAGCTGCAGCCTCTTAAATCAATTTGAAAACGTTTTACTCAAAATAAAATGAGTGTAAGATATCCTCCACACAAAAAATCACGACGAATTCACTTGACAAGTAAAAATGTTTAACGTCAAAAATGCTTTGTAAGATATTATGAGTGGATTATTACCTTTTTTAAGCTAATGAAGCATCCGGTTCTGTAAAAACATTTTCTTTTGCATCGTTTTGCTTTAATGCAATTTTCAAAGTCTGTTCTCGATTAAATTTATATAGCTTACAAATTGTGTCTGACAAGTAGATACGATATGTATAACGTTAAGAATTTTACCGTTTCGGCTAAGCCCATATTTTTCTTTCAAAATATTTAGTAGAGAATGCGACTTCGAAGACAAAAGGTGTAGCCTACCGTTTCAAGCTCAAGGGCTTGTGATTTGAGTTTGGCCCTTTCAACTGTTCCTTTTGCCTCGATAATGGAAGATTCTGCTCGACTCATCGCCTCAGCCTTAGCTTGACCGGTGCTTTCCATTGCCGCGGACTCAACCTGAAGTTCAAGAAGACGTTGACGACCCTTCTCTGCAGCCACCTCGTCTTCGATGCGTTGACGCTCAAGACGTCCCTTTGCCTCTTGTTCACGACAGTTGGCCTCATGCCTAACAAAGATTTAATGAGGCGGGACAAAGCATGGCAAAATGTGGAGGAGATGAATGAGGAAAATTTAGGAAAGGTAATATCGCCCAATCATATAATTTTGGTCAGTATTTTGTTATAATGTTCTCATTATCCCCTGGGCACAGATACAATTGATAAGTTGCCGTACGGACAATCGAAACTTCCTAATATACACGGGTAACGACGGTAAGGACTTTTTAAGGCATCGAGAGACTCAGCTAAGGTTTATGCTTCGAAAAAAACAGGTCATGGCCAAATCGGAGGTGCATAGAAATTAAACGATTAAAGAGCTTAAAAGCTCAAAATATATGGACAAATTGCTGAAATCTAATTTTGAAACCTAATTAACATAAAATACGCCTGATAGGTAAGGATAAACGGCTATGCCTTTGTTGTTACATGACTTTCCATTTCGAAGGAAAAGTTGATTGGAAGGAATTCGTGATGCGGTCTCACAGGGAAGCGAAGGTGGATTGCAGCACAGAAAAGACTGTTGTATGGTACAAAGAAGTCCGCGACTCACCATTCTGCGAGCCTGATGAACCTGTGCTAATCCTCGATCCGTACTGTGATGGACATCATCAGAGCAAGAATCCATAATTTACGAAATAGGGCACCCTCTTACGTGGTTTAAAATATTTTTGCTCTATTTAGTACCCAGTCCTGTGTCATCTGCCATAGTATTGGAAATTTTCAGTATTGTGCCATTGGGTTGGTAAATTCTCAAACGTTTTGCCGGCATCGTCAAGGAAAGGTGCCATCGTTAGCATAAAGTTACAATTTAATAAACTGATAAATGAAGGCAATCCCTTTGACCAATTTTTGGTTTAATCGTTGTGGCATCACTCCTCGGCCACACCATTTTGGGCTTCATATTTACGATCTAGAGATAAAGTCTACATAGCCAACATTAATTGTCATCTTTAGTGAAAATGCATTCAACTCGGCAGACCTATAAATCTCGAAAGAGGCTCTTCGGGTTTCTATTTCGATTATGTTCATTGGATGAATTAATTTTTTTCATAGAAATTGTTTGACCCTGTTTTCGCAACTTTGTCCTATTGACGGGAAGACCTATAAAAATGCACCTTGTCCGGAGTCTATAGAATGCACGATAATTTCCAGAGTCGGACCGTAGACGTGGTACATTCCCAGATATTTTGTCGGCATCTTCAGTGAGTCTTACTATTCTTAGCAGCACCATACAACTCGTCAAAGAGACAAGTGAAGTCGATCCTTTGACCAATTTTCTGCAAAACAGTTTTGGTATCTCTTCTACTTTCCTGGGGTATTCACCTATCCTTTATCCTCATATCACCCCTGCACTGTGACAATTTCTTAATTATTTATTTAAATATGGTATGGTGTTCCCTTTTGAACAGCTTTCAGCAGAATTCTTCACACTTCACGCTGGCTTTCTCACTTTCCCTCACCCCCCTTCACCCTTGTGCTGAGAACGTTGAAGAGAATCTGCCATATTTTTACGCAGTCCTTCTTCCATAGGCCTGGCCAGAGTCTTCCTCTTGCCCCGTAAGATTCGCCTCTTACCTTCCTGGTTCAAGTCTTTAACTCGACCCCTGCTGCCATATCTGTACTACTCGAAACGTTATTTCCCACACTGTTTTAAGCCTCTAATGGCGCATTGAACCTAACCAAAACAAGTGGAACCCCAACATTTGTGGGTTGGCACACAAGAGACTAGAGCATAGGAAGTCATAGACTTAACACTATGCATAGAAGCACGATAGATGCGACGGAGACTAGAGCTGATTGTCTAATAGTAGACGTGTTTGATCATAGACGTGATCCATGAAGCAAAAGCTTTACCATGAAAATATGATATATATCCTCAAGTTAGTCTCCCATCCAGCTTAAGAATCCTGATTTTTAGGGGGTATACTCAGCAAGGTGGGAGCATGCTTGTCATCAAAGGCTTGAGACGCTTCGGGTAGTCCAGATAGGGTGACAGTGGTCGAGCAAAATACCTGAACCAGGAAGGTAGGAGGCGGATCCTACGGGGCAAGAGGGCGACTCTGATAAGACCTATGGAAAGGGGATTGAAGAATAATATGGCAGACTCTGATCAACATTCCAAGCACAATGGTGAAAGGGAGGGAGGGGGTGAGAAAGCAAGTCATGAAATCCGCTCAAAAGGGCACACAGTATCATATTTAAATAAGCAATTAGGAAATTGTGAAATTGAAGGGGCGATATGAGGATATAGGATAGATGGATACCCCAGGATTGAAGAAGAGATAACACAACTGTTTAGCAGACAATTGGTCAAAGGATCGACTTCACTTGTCTCTTTGACGAGTTGTAGTGTGGTGCTAAGAGTGGCAAGATTCATTGACGATGCCGAAGAAACATCTGGGAATGTACCACGTCCACGGTCCGACTCTGGAAATGAGTATGCATACTATGGACTCCGGCCAAGGTGCGTTAATCCAGATCTTCCTGCCAATATGACCAATTTGAGAAAATAAGGTCAGACAACTTCCATACAACGAAGGGAGACTGCGACCATACAAAATATACACCATCTTTGCCTTCATAGCTTAAATTAAATTCTTTAATGTTGCTCTATTATTCGTTTTATTTGAATATGTGTGTGGAAGGGATTTGTAAGTTCGCATTCGTTTATATCTAGCACCTTTAATCTTGTCAAGTTATGAGTTTAAATAGCATTTAATTTATAGCTGATTAGTTCTCCTAATTTAGCTTTTAGTTAAAGACTTGGTAATAATGTGATCCAGTTTTGAAAGCTTCTGTCATATGACGAAAGAATGCTGAAGTCATGTTTATCCGAACTGAAGGAGGGCTATTTGTGGACTGCATCAACCTGATAATTGTATAAAAGTCAAGGCAACAGAACAAAGAAAAGCAGTCTTCTGGTGAGATCTACTTGAGCATCTCTCCTCAAGAAATGGTCATTTACGTACGTCACATGTTCGCGTGATCGTACGTAGAGGACTTCTTTGCATTAAGCACCATTTACAGTGCCAAAGCGATCTTTCCATCAATTTCAGATTAGGCTAATTTACGAATTCCCTCCATTCATCTTTTCAAGCGAAATCTTAGGTGGAACAATAGGAATTTGTAATGCACCTTTTGGTATCTACGGTTTTGATTGTTCCTATGTGATTTCACCTGACCCTCTGGAAGAGTATCGGCAAGAAGAATTATAACATTTTATATCAATACTAAGTAGGTTTTAAGACTTCCAGTATATCTTGAATAAGGGTTCTAGTTACCTTGGGTTGCATAAGGTAATGAAGAACAGATAAATAAACTTTACCATGGTGACGAGAAAGCCTCATGGTCTTGCCTTCTAAAATGTAATCTCATTCAGGGTGGACTGCAGTCTTGGCTTCAATTGGGTCCCATAAGCACCCCAACAGGACTCGGTAGCGCGATGTTTATATTCGGCGCGTTATAACTACGCTAAGCTAAATGTAATTTCATAATATCGTAGGGCCAATACATAAAATTGTGGGAAAATCCAAATATCAGCCCTTCATTACCCTATGTGACCTATTGTGACTAACTCTTCTAATAAAGACCAAATGATAGTCTCTAAAAGTACTCACTACGAATAAAAGTAATGTAGCCTATCGAAATAGCAGAATATGAGTTTGTATCATCAACAATCCCACTCTAAGAATGTGATATGAGAGAGACCTGGTTCGCCTTTAAAGCCAAATCTACTGTGACCCACTGGTATCCATGCAGTGTGTCTTAGTGATAACATGTAGTAAACATACGCTTCCGTATTCGGGTTTGATCCCGGTTGAGGCTGCCAATGAGACCCACGCGAGGTCGAAACTACAGCTTACCCTCAATGAAATGAGTTTTTTTGTAGGCAAGGCTAAGTGAAATTCAGTGGCATCATGACTCCGAAACATAACAGTATGGGAGGATTCAAACATCAGTCCTTCATCACCTTATCCACCGTAAGGTAGAGATCCTACTGTAGATCTTTTTTGAAGTATTAATTGTCATAATAACTTCTCGTAAGCCGCACCTCAGCATTAACTCACTTTGCAGCTGCCTCCTGAGAGTTAGTCGTGATCTCGATGGCTAGCTGGACGGACTTTTGCAGAGAATCCCGAGTCCGTTGATCAACCGGCTCCACAGATTGTACATCTATGCTAGTAATAGCCAAATTGTTCTGAGGAAAGACAAAACTGTCTCTGATTTTGTTATTGGAATCCATACCGAAAACAGAAGTACGAATTATCCTGGCGGAATTCTTCAAAATAGGAAATAGAAAAGCGATAGTGTAAGTGGCTAAGATAGAAAAAAGCAGTGATATCGTTTCAAAGAAAATATGTGAGTATACTTCGAAGGGTAGATTAACAAAATGAAAAGAACTATGTGAGTTATATGATACTATACTGAGTAGATATACAGCATAGCTCTTGGTTCATTTCATAT